TGTGCTTCCTCGGTGCGTCCCCAACCACATGGGCAAGACACCAAAGTGCACGCGAGGCACAGCGGGGCCAACCGCTTCCCCTGCGTGACGCTGGCCACGCCCAGAAGGAAGGAGACAGGGTCAGTCCCCACACACAACCCTGTGCGAGAGGAGGGGACCTGGGAGGTCCTGTCCATCCACATCACCACATGCTCTTGGCCCTGAGTCTGTCTCATGGTCACGGCCCCCTGAACGTGGCCCCTCGCTCCACACCCAGCCCAGCTGAGGGCGGGAGCACTGGGCGAGCACTCGGAGGCAGAATGACGGACGCACCCTGGGTCGCTCAGACCCACAAGTGGAAGCCAGAGCTTCTGCATCCAGACCTGGGAGCTTCCCGCGGCTCCCAGCCCCTGCGAGGGTGTGGGCGGCTCCGACGCAAGAGCCTGCGAGCGAGGCCCACTGGAGGGAGGCCCTGACCTGCCTGAGGCCAGGGCCCCGGGGCTCCGCCTGCACCCCTTCTCAGCAGCCACTCCCAAAGGCTCCCACCAAAGGCCACTGGGCTCATCTTGCCCCTGGGAAGATGGTTGGATTGAACGCTAAGTGGAAGCACCAGTCAGTGAGGTGGGCTGGCTGTGGACACGCGGCCAGCGGGCTGTCCCCCCCCACCCCGGGGCCAGCTCCCCTGCCAGAGGCCCTGGGCGCCTGCTCGCCCCCGGCTCCGTGTGCGAGGCTGGCACCCGAGAATCTTCTCTGCCAGGCCCTTGGACGGGGCGTCCGAGGGCGACACGCGCTCTTGCCTCCGAGCAGCGAGTCCCCACCGAGCGCACCGGGGCCCTCGCTGCGACAAGTGACGGCAGTGAGGGATGACAGTGACGACAGGGACCACAGGGACGACAGTGTAGCAAGAGCTGCGGCCCCGGAGCGGCCCAAAGCGCCTGCGCCTGCGCCGAGTTAGGGGCACACCACCGTTGGGTGCTGGCACCGAAGGAGGTCCAGGGGGGTGGTTAAGGGAGGGGAGGTGGCAGAAGGTGCTCATGTGCTGCCGCTGAGGAGACAGGGCCGGGGTCTGCAGACAGAGCGGGACCTGGGGCGGCAGCTGGGCTGGGGGGAGGGGATGCCGCCCAGCCTCTCACAAGACCTCTGTTTCGCAGCGAGACCGTGCATGTTCACCTTTGCAAAGCAGACAGAGGAATGCCTGGCTGCAGGACTGGGGCAGGGGAGGGGCATTTCAGAGCAGGACTCCCCGCCCCCAGGGGGGTGGCACGCGCAGGAGGAGCCTGGCCGAGCCAGGTGCGGAGTGGCTCTGCACCCCGCCACACACGTGTCGCAACGGCGCCTCGCTCTCCAGGGCTTAACGCTCTCCCAGGCCTCTCGCCTCTGCTCCCGGGACACCAAGAGCACGAGCTCCCACCGTGCATGCCAGGCTGGGTGTGGGGGGTCCAGGGATTGAGTGGTCCCCGCCCACATCGCACCGGGAGCGCCTCACCATCAGGAATCAAGTTTCACTTATGTTTGGGTCCCCAGCACCTAGGACAGCGCCTGGGGCAGACGAGGTGGTCAGCAGCTAGCCCGTGCTGCGTGAATGGAAAACTCCACCCACCAAGGAATCTGCACACTCCACGTGGCCTGAGGGGACGGCGACTCCTGAACCTGTGTCCGAACGTGGGAGAAAGGGAGAGTAACGAGAACCCCTCGGACCGGCGCGGGCTGGGCGGAGCGCGTGGAGACTTCGACAGGTCGCCGAGCCGCACCCCTCAGGAGTGCGGGTGTGTCATCCTCTCCGAGGCGGGGCAGGGGGCCGTCCAAACCCAGGTCACCACGTGGCCACGGCCTCCTAGGTGGGCGCCGCCCTCGTCCTCACGGGTCTCAAACTCACGGTGCTTCTTTGGAGAGTGTGCACTGAAAGTGTCTTCTCAAAACGCAGCCAGCCCCGAGTCCGGGCTCCCCGGACGCCGAGGGAGAAAGCACGGGCAGGCACGGGTGTGCGCGGGAGGCTCTGAGAGGGCAGCGTCAGCGGCCGCAGAAGGTAGCAGGAGGCACAGCAGCGGGCCACTCAGAGCAGCGTGGCAAACCGCTTAGCCCCATGAGTCCCCCTGACCTGGTTGCTACGGCAACGGCTGGAAACAGCCCTCCAGACAGACAGACTGCCGGGGAGCACACTGGGCTCTGCAGCCACCCCCTCCCCGCCCATCTGTCCCCCCCAGCGGTGCAGCCTGCCTGGGTTTGCAGGGCGAGACAGCAGGCGCCTAGCGAGGCCCACTGAGCCGTGCTGAGAGAGCTGGAGAGCCACACTCGGGAAAACGAAACTCGGCCACAGTCTTTCCCCAGAACTAAAAATTAACTTAAAAATGTTCTAAAGGCCGGAATGTTAGCACCTGAAACCATAAAACTCCCGGAAGAAAACGTGGGGGACCGGCTCCTTGGCGCAGGTCTTGGCGACGACTGTCTTGGATCTGACGCCGAAACACAAGCGGCACAGTGAACGGTGAGCGGCGCTGTGTCGGAGCGCACAGCTCTGCGCGGCGAAGGGGGCGGTCAGCGGAGTTCAAAGGCAACTCTCGGAGTGGGAGGAAACATCCGCACATCACGTCTGACGCAGGGTTGCTAACCAAAACGTATTAAAAACTCACACAACTCAATAGCAAAAAAAAACCCCAAACAATCCCATTAAAAACTGAGATCTGAACGGACACTTTTCCAAGGAAAACACCGCGGACCAACAGGTGCGAGAGAAGACGCCCAGCATCACCCGTCCCCAGATAAATGGACACCAGAGCCACACCGAGGCTCCAGCTCGCACCTGCCACCAGACCGGCCGTGCCAGGCGCAGGCGAGGAGGTGGGGGCGTGCGAGGAGGTGGGGACGGGGAGCCCCACCTGCTGGGGGCGGTGCTGCGGACTGCAGCGGGGGAGGGGGGCATGGGAAACAACGTGGCGGCACTTCAGGAACTAGACGCAGAACTACCATATTCCAGTGTCGCAGGTTCGATTCCCAGTCAGGGCACATGCCTGGGTTGCAGGCCATGACCCCCAGCAACACATTGATGTTTCTCTCTCTCATTCTTTCTCCCTCCCTTCTCTCTCTAAAAATAAATAAATAAAATCTTAAAAAAAAAGATTATCTCATTAAAATAAAATAAAAAAAAAGAACTACCGTGTTCCGAGCGCTCACCCAAAGGACGGAAACACCAACCTGAGAAGGCGCGTGCGCCCCCGTGTCCACGGCCGCACCAGTCCCAGCCGCCAAGTCCGGAAGCAGCCGCCGTGTCTGCGCACGGCCGCACCCGCGTGACGGGGCATCGCCCGGCCACAGGGAAAAGGGAATCTCCTGCGGCGACAGCCTGCCCGGGCGGCCCTGGCCTGCGGGCTGTGGTGCCAGGTGAGACGAGAGGGAGAGGCAGGCCAGGCTGCCCGGCCTCTCGCGGCCTCTGCCCGGCGACCGTGCTCACCACGGCTCCCACAACACCCGCGTCGCCGCCAACAGTCACCGGCCCTGTGACACAGCAGCTCGAGAGCCTTAAACCAGCCGCGCCTCTGGCTGACGCACCCCGGACCAGACGGCGGGTCCAGTCCGAGGTGGAACACAACCCCGAGTGTGAAGGTGGGCGCCGGGGGGAGGCCAGACGCGGTGCCAGCCTCCTCGACCGGGAGGGCCGAGCGGGAACACGCCCCCACCGTTCCGGCAGCACATCCTCGGCATGACACCACCGCGGGGCGGGCGCCCGGCCCCCCCCAGGCCTCCCTGCGCACGCAGGCCGGAGATCCTCACAAGTCACCCGTCTTCTCCGGGGCACGGCGACGCAGGCCCGCGCCACCCGCCAGCACGTGGTGGGCGCGTGACACGTGTCCCCAGGGCAGCTGCCCGACACGGACTCTGAGAACCGCCAGGCGGCCCGGGGTGCACCCAGCCAGGGGCCTCCGGGCTCACCCGCGGGCGCGGATGCGCACACACGATGCACTCACAGGAGCGTTGCTTCACTTCTCTCACAGGGTCCGCTCCCTCCCCGAGGCCCACCGGAGCCCCGGGGGCAGGGGGCAGGGGCTCTGGGTGCTGCCCCTCCCCGGCTGCCCACACCTGGGCAGTGACTGGCTGTGCTCAGGGAGCCCTGACCTAGGACATTCCAACCCAGTGCGGAAGCTGGGCCGGCGCCCCAGCGACAGCCTCTGCAGCAGCCCGTCCCCTTCCCCCGACTCGGGCGGGTCCAGTGTGTGTGTGGGGGGGGGGGGGCTCCACGGAAGGAGTGGAAGGACGGCCTTCCCCTGCCCCTGCGGGAACAGCGGTGGGCCCGGGGAGGGCCGCCGGGCAGCGTCAGGGGCGCCGGGAGAGAGTTGGCGGAGGTCTGCTCTCCCCCCCTCGGGCCCCTCGGGGCAGTTCTCAGGCATGTCTGCAGGACGCCAGCTCTCCCTGTCTCCGGGGGAAGACCAGAGGCTGACCCACGGGGCTTCCACGTGAGGAAAACAGACTGTTCCCGTCTGTCCCCAAACGAGTGACGTGGTCAAGCAACAAAGCCCCCCACGTCACAAAACACTACGTTTAGCTTGTGTCTCAGCAAAACACTTCCGCCTGCTACCGGAGCGGTGCCCGGGAGAGCCCACGGCCCGCACGCCGCCCCGAGTGCTGACCGTGCACACTCTCTCGGGGCCGAGCGCCGAGCCGGCTGGCGTGCTCACCGAACGTGCACCCCAGCTCGCCGGCCCACGGGAGGCTGTCAGAGCTCCGCCCCGAGCGGAGTGAGAGGAAGGAGGCGACCACACCCTTGCCACCTCCCACCACCCCATCACCTGAAGTCCAGAAACGTCTGCAGAAGACACGCCCATAAGGACGTGGTCAGGTGTCACCATGAAGGACGGAGGGTTCCACGGCCCCTGGAACCCGGGGTGCCCATTGCCCACCCCCCGTCTGTGTCTGGGGGCCCCGAACCCTTCCGCAAGTCCGCGCTGAGGTGCGGAGCTCCGGGGAGACGCGGAGGCCGGCGCGAGGCCCCGCGGTGGCCGGCGCCGGAGGGAGAGGGCCGTACTCACCCCACTGCAGGGGGGCCAGCTGCAGGTGCTCCAGGACCAGCTGGCTCAGCAGGCCTTCCACGCTCGCCTCGCCCGTGCGCTTCAGGGAGGGGTGGGCCTCGGTCAAGGAAAACTCGGCTCCTGCTGGGCCCCCGGGACAGGCGCAGGGGTTCCAGGAGTTTCTAGACAGACTCCCAGGAGGGAAACCACCCACAGCGGAGACGAGCCCCCCTCAGCTCCCGCGGTGGTCTAACCAGCCGTCACACATCCCCCGCGTGTGCAGAAGACGGGGCCCATCTCCTCCCACCCGAGCACTGGTCCCTGGAGCCACCGCGATGCACCGGGTCCAGTGAAACCACTTGAACCCGACAGCTGTTCCTGCTGGGGGGGCGAAGAACACGGCGGGGGCGGTGGGGGGGGTTCCTGAATAAAGCCCCCAACCGTGGCTCCCGGTCCAGTGCCACCGAGTGCGTCCCTGGACACGCGCCGGTTCCCCGCCGGCTTCCTGTGTGCCGCGTTCTCCTTCCTGTGGTATGACACACAGCTCACGGGTGGGCTCAGTGACGGGGGGCCCCCGCGGAGGAGCTCGTGCCGACTCCCGCCAGGTAGCAGCGGACAAAGAAATCAGGCTCAGAAACGCAGCCAACGGACTCCCCCAGACACCAGTGGGCAACAGCCACCGCGGTTCCTGCGCCCGCACGAAGGAGGCCACCACACTCAAGTCACAGCCAACAGGGGACAAGGCAGCTCCTGACATTCTCAGCAACCGGGGAGCGAGGGCGGGCCCTCCTCTCTGCTCTGGCAGGCTAACCCCATCCCACGCACACACAGTGGGTCTGAAACGAGACGGGGGCGGGGGGAGCACACGGCACACTGGAACAACCAGGTGTGAGCCTTGAACTTGGGAGGCGTACTTCTCGGCGAAGCTGAGACTACGGAAACGGGCGACTGCACCGCCTCGCCGACCGGCCGGCCATGTCCGGGGAAGCCCCGCAGGGGGAGGAGGGCAGGGCCAAAGCTGGCTCCTCTCACTGCCACGTGGCAGCTGAACAGGGCGGGGTGGGGGCGGCAGGGGCGTCTGGAGACTCTGGGCCCAGCTGTGAGTCTTGGTGCCACCGCTGGTGGGCACGGCTGACTCACTTCAGCTCTCCAGGTCTCAGTTTCACCCTCTGTAAAGTGGGCTTAACAGCAACGTGCCCCGGCAGGGGCGTCGCCAGAAGCAGGTGTCACCCACAGGCAGCCCGGCTGAGGCCTCCAAGGGAGGCCGGCGCTGAGCAGCCGTGGGGACCCGGCACCCCTCGGCCCCACGGTCTCTGAGAAATCAGGTCCCAGTTTCCTCACGGGGAGCCAGCACGGCGGGGAGGCTGGCAGGAGCCCTGGTGTCCGGGTGGCGTGGGCGCTCGGAGACGGCCTGCACAGCGCTGCCCCGGCCTCAGTCACGGTGGGCACCGGTGACCTCGCAGGCAGGGCAGGACCAGGGCCTGGGGACCCTCCCCGAGGCTCTCCCCGCCACGCCAGAAGGGGCCCCAGCCCCTCTTCTCAGGAGAAACACCCGCCAAGCCCTCCCGCCACCCGGGGGTGGTGCACAGCCGGCGACTGGCGGACCAGGAAAGGGGCGTGCACAGGCTGGGCCTTGCTGGAGACGAGATGAGCTCTGGCCACACCAAGCTCCAGGACAGAGGCCACCTCCCTGCCCGCGTCTCCCCTGCCCTCTCCCACCCGGCCTGCCCCCAGGGTCGCAGGCTGGCGGGCGGGAGGAGGGGCGCCCAGGCCCGTTTTCTGCAGGATGGGGGGCGAGAGGCTTCTCTGTTAGGACTGCAGGTGCCTTCACACCCCCTCCCCGAGCACGGGCGCCGGGGCGTCCGTGGTTGTCTGCGGCGGGCTCCCTGACTCCCAGGCAGCTGTCATGGTGGCCGGAGCTACCGTTTCCTGCCCCCCCTCAGCGCCCAGGTGGCGTCACCTGTGCAAACAGCGTGCTCTGAGCAAAGGGCAGCCCCCGGCCGCTCCCGGAAGTCCGCCGCTCCCCGACGGGAGCCTCGGGTCCCGCACCCATGGGCTGGGAGGGCCTCCCTCTGAACGGGGAGCAGGACACTGCTGGGCCCTGGCCAGTCGCGGAGGAGCAAGCCCCGCTCTGTCCTCCGAGAGCCCCACCCCGGAGCAGAGGCCGAGGGGGGCCCGCCCGAGCTCCGCAGCCCCAGCCGGCCCCCCTCCGGTGCGGCTGGGGGGCCCACATCACCTGCCCACTTCCTTGCAGGAAATGAAGACTTCCGAACGTGGCATCCTGCCGCCTCTGGGTAAAAACACCATGCCAGGCCCCCGGGGGGCGGGGCGCGGGGGGCGGCACCACGGTGCTGGCGGAGCAGGCGCGGCGCCTGACGGACACGCTGGCACGAGGGGCTCTGAAACGGCCCGCCAGAGGAGCGAGTCGGCGTGGGAGTCACCGCAAGGGTGCCAAGTGGCACCGGGGCTTTGGAAACCGTGCCAGCGGCATCTGTCCGTATTCATTTGCTTTCGGGTGCGAGCCATAAAATTATACAGCCAAGCTGATAAAGCTAATTACCTGCACCCACAGGGCCCCCTCCCCGAGTTTGGCCCCATAAGCCACCAAAACAGGGCTGTGTCGGAGCCCGAACACACAGACGCGAAGCTGGCTGGCCCGCCGGCGCGGCAGCTGCCTAACCAGCCTCCACTGCAGCCAAGATTACAGGGTCGGAGTGACGGTGGCAGGGGCGGCCGCCGGCAGTGTCTCTCAAATACACGGGCCCTGGCGCCTGGGGCAAGAGGCCGATAAGCAGTGACGACGGCAGCACTTCCTACCGTCACTTCTACCGGGAAGGTCATTTCCACAGGGCTCCCCGCGGGGCAGGCCCGTGGTGACTGGGGGACGTGCACCTCCTCGATTTAACCCCCACGGCTCTCCTGGTAGACTTGAACATGGAGAACCTGACAGGCAGAGGCTGGCATTTCCACCTCCGAGAGCTTCTGGAACTCGGGCCCACGGGACGCTGAGGAAGCCGACCCAGCTAGGTGTGGCAGGAGCGAGGCAGGCTGACCCTGGGCCCACACTCTGGACACCACCCTCAGACACAGGACACCTGGCGGCCAGGACACACGAGGGTCCCTCTGGGCTCAGGGGCCCCGGCTGCCATGCCAGTCAGCCCCCCGACCCAGCCAGAAGCTTGGCGGCCTCCTTCCCCCAGCCCAGAGGCAGCCGGCCGGGAGCTCTCCACGGTGCTGAAGAGCCTGCCTCCCTGGGAAGCCCCTTCTGGTCCCCTGGGACAAGCAACTACACTTCCAACTAAGTCACAGCTCCTGCCCCCGGAGGGCAGAGACGGTGGCCCTGCAGTAGGAGGACTGTGCCGTCATCTGGTGCCGACCCAGGCTTGGCGAGTCTCCCGGATACTGCCACACGTGATGACTGACAAGCCCCTACGCCTGAACCAGGGGCAAGTTCCCAGCTCAGCTTGGCCCAGCCCGCCCTCCGCCTCTGGGGCCCCCATTTCTGACACACTCCTTTCACGTGCCCCCACCCCTGCCACGCCCTGCCTCAAGGACCCCGCCGAGTCACTCGCGACCCCTGCGGGTCACAAGCCCAAGGAGGCGATGAGTCGCAGTGCCCAGGGTCCGCGTGCGGCCCTGCTCAGGCCGGCAAAGTCAGCGGGCGGGCAGCCCCGCCTTCCGAACCGCTGGCTTCTGCAAGCTGACGGGGCAGAGCCCGGAGGACCGCGTGCGGCCCCGGCCCCGGCAGGGTCGGGTGGGGGCCCTGGTCAACGGCACTGTGCCTGGCACACGGCAGGTGCTCCCCAAACGCCTCTCGGATTCGCCCCAGCCCTCCCCCTGCCTGGCCGGAGCGCTGGCCCTGTTGGCGACGTCCGGCACTAGCCGCACAGGAGAGAAGGAGGAGAAGACCACCCAAGGTGAGAGCCCCCCTACTTTAAGAAGCCCGGTCTACTGTGCAGGGATCTGATCTGATCAGGCAACCACCGTTACCGGTTAAATTCAATGAACCGGCCGGTATTTGCGCAGGGCCCTCTTGTCCGCAGGCATCCGCAGGCACGCCGTCTCGGTTACCCTGCGTGTCGCGGGAGCCACGCATGCTCGCTTCTGAACCTTTGGAACACGGCCAGACGCCGCCCCTCCCCTTTTCCACCCGGCCACTGGCAGTGACGTATTTGGGGACATTTGCGCTGTTCTCAGAGGACCACTAGAAGCCGCAGAGCCGCACTGGTGACCCTGCCTGTCTACGTGACAAGTGTCCCGGGACCCCCGGCACTTCAGAAGACACCGACTGTTCCGTCAGCTCTTCCCCGGGGCCGTGCAGCCCTGCGGGAGACTGGCTCTTCCGAGCCTGCTGAGCCTGCCGAGCCTGCCGGGCCTGCCGGGCCTGCCGGCACCGGGCTCGGAACACCCCGCTGCTGCACACGGTCTACTGAGCAAAGCCGGGAACCGTCCCGGGCCGCTGCTAGGTGAGCGTCCTGGAGGGGTGCTGGGGAGGGGGCTGCACCTCGGCACCCCAGGAAGGCGGGCTGCCTGCACCCACCTGCGGGCTCTGCAGGGGCGACAGGGGCAGGGACTCCGCCCGGCCCCACTTCAGCTCAGATCAAGGAGCAGACTGTCGTAACCAGAAATACGGCCGATGGGAAGACGCTCTGAGTGATTAACGGGCCTCCTCCCCGGGACGCTCCTTTCCAGTCTGCGTGGTGAACTTGGGGAGTGCCATCGTCGGGGGTTCCCCTCTCGGGAGGGGCGCCAGCATCACGGCTCCACCCCCTGGCGTCAGTGACCCCACGGGACGGCGGATGCCTGGCAGTGCACGAGCTCCCAGGGAGTGTGCCGGGGCCCCATGGCTGCGGGTCTCCTCGGGCTGAGACAGCACGGGGGCAGCTGAGGGGGGCCGCCCTGCGGGGTGGGGCAGGGCGTGCGGGGTGCTGTCTCCTCAGGTGTATCTGAAATGTGAGGGTGCACTGCCGGCTGGGGCAGGGACGGCAGCTGCCCCGCTGCTCCCAGCGCAGAGCCCGGAGCACGGGCCCCCAGGCCGGCAGCCGACACGAGTCCCAGCTCTGCCACTCAGCGGCCAGGGGACCAGCAGCAGGTTAGCGATCCCGGCCAGACCTGCTTTCCCTGCCGTGGAACGTGGGTAAAGAACTCCATCGGGTCCCTTTAAGAAGCGAGTGAGCAAACCTGTAGAACTTGTGCAGAACGCACCTGGCGTCCCGTGAGCGCCACACTGCAGCCGTGGAGCTCTGTGGTTGTGTCATCTGAGACACTCACGCCCACCTCAGTCCCACCAAAAGTGCACAGAGTGTGTGCAAACCCCACGTGCCCCCAATGCACAAACACAACGCGCACACACACACACATGCACACACCACACCCAGCTCACCACACATGGGGTGCACACAGGCACACACTGCACATCATACATGCACCACACCACACATAGCTCCACACACAGCATGCACACGTGTGCACATGCACCACACACCTCACCACATGCAGCACACGCACACGTGCACATGCACGCACACACACTTGGGACAGTGGCTGGCAGGCTGGGGAAAGTCCTCTCCGATTCTCATGCGCCAGCCAAGTCCGCAGTCCACGCTCTCCGTAAGCACACCCCGACTCCTTGGGGGGCCATTTTGGGGTGTGCCTGCCACCACATGTGTTCTAGGGGGAAACAGCGATGAGATCTGGGTCCTCCAACCTCCCCCCCTTCCCCCGCCGAAGGCCTCACAGCCAGGGCAGCTTCCCGGCACCGACGGGCAGCTGCAGAGCGTGTGCACTGCGGGACGAGCGGCCTCCGAGCCAGGTGGCAGCCCACGGCGACGAAGGGCGACGAACGCCAAGCTCCCTGAGGGCGAACACCACCTGCGACTCTGCCTTCTCCCCAAGACGATCAGGGACTCGGCTGCCCCGACGACGACGACAGGAGCTGTGGGCACTGAAAGTCACCCGGGGGGAAACCGGTTCTCCCAACGCGCTCAGGAGCCCCAGGGCACGCCGTGCCCCGGGAGCCCTGCTCAAAGCCGACTGCTGCACAGGGGGCGGAGACAGAGCTCCGTCCGTCAGGAAGCGTCTTTGAGAACAAGCGAGAAGCCAGCTGGCGAGGCTGTAGGGCTGGCCCAGGTGACCCAGGGCGGCCCCACCTCTGTGCAAGGGCTGGGAGGAGGGGCCAGCCGGAGGCAGACTCAGTGAGACGCCGGCACGGTGGCACCCCCCTCCAGCCGTCCTCCTCGTCACCCCAGCCGGGGGCACGGGGGTGACAGCCCTGCACAAAGACTCTCGGGAAGCCCAGCTGAAAACTGACGGTGAGAGTCGCCGCCCCTGCAGGGCTTCTTGGGGGCAGAGAGGGCAGTGCGTGTGTGCGAGGCCGAGACTGGGGCTGGGGCACGGCTACCCCCGACCCGCCCCGGGACGCAGGGCCCTGCGCTCCAGGAGGACACCTCGCCGCCCCACACCCTACTCCCCAGTCATGCACGTGTCTGGACCTCTGCACCCGCACAGACCCTCCATCTGCAGCCTCGATCCCCGGGCGGCCGAGACCCAGTCTGCTGCCGGCGCCTGGAGCTCCCCCCGCCGCACCCTCAGAACGGCCCGGTGGCTGCACCGGTCTGCAGACGGGGCAGGGGCTGCGTGCTCGTCAGACACCCGCCCCTGCCCGCGGCCTCGGTGGGGTCGGCTGCGCTCGTCAGGACACCCGCGGGGCTGGGCATTGGCACTTTGGCAAGGACCTCGCCGACCCCCGGAAAGCTCGTTGAAGGGAGCTCCGCCAGGAAAACAAGCACACTGGGAGGGGTGCCGGTGGCACGCTCGCTCCCGCCCCTCCTGTTCGCACCGCGGGGCAGGGGCAGGGCCGCCCTCCGGAAGCAGGCACTTCCAGAGCCTTCTGCCCGCACACAAAGGGCTCCTTTGTCACCAGCTCCTTGGAGACACGGGCCTGCCGGCCTCAAAGCCACTCCAGTCTGCACAAAGGAACGTGCCTCGGCCTCTGACCTGGGCCGCCTGCAGACCGCAGCTCCTCTCCCCAGGCCCCAGGGGGAGTCTGGCAGGACCCGAGACGGCCCAGCAGAACCGACAACGTGTGAACAAGACAGTTAACATGCATCCACATCAGAGTCGCCTCTTCCCAGGGGCGTTCTCGGGGCGAGCTGTCCTCTCACCCCTGGGTGGACATCACCCCCTCCGTGAAGGCCTCCCTGACTGCCCCGCCCAGCAGCATCCCTCCCCTCGGATCCTCCCGGCCCTGAGCACAGCACTCCACCCTGCTCCCTGCAGGGCAGGCGGCCCCAGGGGACGCCCTCCCCGACCGACAGCCCACAGAGGCCTCGTCCTGCCCTGCGGCCCCCTGCGGGCCCAGCATGACGCCCGGCCCAAGGCCGGCACCCCGCGGCGACTGCTGAGTGAGCGCAGAGACAGGAGAGGGCGTGGGCTCTCGGCTGAGGGCCCACCGGAGCCAGGGGCGGCTCTGAAGCCCAGGGCCGAGCAGGCTACCTCGCCGACACTCGCACAGCCGCCCTCCCGAAAACCTGCCGGCCCTGCCCAGACGCACAGTCTGACTGCGCCCCGACCCCTGCAGCCTGCGCCCAGCCGTCAGTTTGCGGAACTCCTCGAGCCAGCACTGAGGGGCGGGTGTCGCAGCCTGTCACCACCTCGCACACCAACGCGTGCAAGGAGCACGTGGCCCGAGGCCCCTCCGCGGTGTGAACCAGCACCTCGCTAGCAAGCCTCGCCGAGGGGAGGGGCTCGGAGGAACACGGGGTCTTCAGCCCCCTCCCAGCCGTGCCGTCTCTGAGCTCCCCGTGGCCCAGCGGCAACGGCTCACCCCCTTGGGCCCCCTCACGGGTCACAAGGCCCGCGCCGGGCGCACCAGGCTCCCCGGCCCCCGTGGGAAGGATATGATTCGCCAGCGGATGCCCAGCTTGCTGTTGATCTCCAGGCCTCGCGCTTCCTGCCGCTCTTCCTCCAGCTGCCTGGAACTTGCAAACTGCCCCTTCTCCCCAGGGGACTCGGGCAAACTCTCGAAGTTGAACTTGTCCACCTGAATGGCCATCCTGAGAGGAGGGAGAGACACAGGAAAGATTTGATCAGGAGGGCGATGCCTTCAGCTGCTGGTGGGAGAGCCGCCACATGCCAGTGTGAGACGGTGTAGTGGATCATCACCGTAATTCACGAGGGACTCGTGCCAAGAAGATGAAATGACAGACTCCCGCGGCGGCTCCGGCTGCAGAGCCGGTGCCGCGCACCGAGCAGGGCTGCAGCCGCAGCCTCAGACCCCGACTCGGAGGGCCCAGGACCCCAGATCTGCATCACACAGGTGGGTGACGGGCGGGGGGGGGGCCTCCCATGTCCAGGCCCTGCAGCCCCGGCTCTGCCTGCACAGTGACCAAGAGTGCACCGGGGAATGGGTGGACGGCCCAGCCAGACCCAGCGGGCTCGCGCCGGCCCCTGGGGCTACCCCCTCTAAGGAGCAGGAGAGAGACCGGCACCCAGGGAGTGCAGCCAGGAGACTGAGCCTGGGGAGGAGGTCCCCAGGCCGTGGGGGCGCGGGAAGGAGCCCTGGCCCTGGCCAGCCCTGCGGCGTCAGCGCCCTGGGGGAGCGCACGACTCCGGCACGGGCACGGACGACACGGCGCTCTGCAGCCACAACTGCGCTCCGAAGCCGCACCCACTGCTCCGCTGTGATCACAGAAGCAGGTGCTGGAGACAACGGGGAACGGGAGAAGCGCACACGCACGGAGGAGACAGGGCGCTCAGCCTCTCGCTCCCCAGCGTGAACCTCCGGGGGACGGGCAGCTCTCCGGGGGACGGGCAGCAGGCGGCAGAGCCACCGCAGGGTCGGCACAGTGCCCGGCCACACAGGACGCTCTCCGAACAGCGGCCGGCTGCCGCCGCGGCCGGCTGCCGCCACGACCGTCTCTTCAGCGGTGCAGACAGGAGACGGGGGCGGCGAGGGGAGGCACTCACCCGAGCGTGTGCGGGACCGGCTGCAGACGCCGCGTGCCCTTCGACCTCACCCGGCACCCCCGGTGCTGCCGGCCACCCCGACAGCCCCACCACTCCTGCCGCCGACGGTTCTGTTCGTCTTCGATGAGTCAGAGTTAAATAAAAATTAATGCCGCTACTGGATGCCAGTTTTTGTGTTTGATTTTACGGCCAAATGTGACAATAATAGTCAAGAGCTGGCACCAAAAAAGGTGCTGGGGTTTTTAAAGAGTCCATTAAGAAAGAAGCGCTGGTTGTTAAAACGCCATATTGTGAGACTCAGTCTCTGAGCCGCTGATGACCTCGCCGGGGGGGGTCGCAACGGCGGCCGCGGAACACAGGCCGGGGCGTCGGACCTGGAAGGGCTGCCCGCGCATCGTCCCGCTGCACCTCCACTGGGGGGGACTGACGGCTGGAAAGCGGGGGTTCGGAGCGCGAGCGGCGCCCACCCAGGGGTCTGCGAGGCCGGGCAGGACGCCAGCCCCCGCCCGCGCACAGCAGAGCCCAGCCCCCGCGGGAGCAAGCCCCACCCCCCGGCCGGCGTCCCAGCGAGACGGGGCTGCCGGCAGCCAGGAGGGCGGCAGGCACACGACACCTGGGTCACGCCCCGACAGGAGAGACCTTCCTCCTCGAGCCTCATAGACCAACTATGGTAAAATATATATATACATATATAATATATGATAATAATAAAATACAGTAGTTACTTAATAAAATGAAATATTATGTAAAATAATACATAACATATAATATACATATAAGTATATAAATAGGAGCTATAATATATTTATATACTTACACATCATATATAAGTACATACATATATATATTCCTCCCTTATCATTGTTTTTAACTGAAGAGGAAAACCAGGCCGTGTTCTGAGGCCCCAAACCCTCGCGCCCCCCCGAAGCGCGGTCAGCCGTCACGCCGACAGCGCACCAGGGCAGCGGTGGACGCTGGGTGCTGCTCGGACCCGACGGGGGACACGGGAAGGGACAAAGCCGGGGAGGTGAGCGGGGGCCTCGCTGCGCCTGCACCCGTCGCCCTCCCCACTTGCCCCGTCGGTGGTCACGGAGCCGGGCCTGGGCCCGCGCTGGGAGGACTGCTGGAGCCCGTTTTCAGGAGACAGACCAGACAGGAGCGCAGAGCGGGGGGACGTGACGAAGGCGGCGGGGGAGGGCACCACCCGGGCCCCGGCGGGGGCTCGGCCGGGCAGGGCGCTGTCCCCACACGCCAGGGTTGCGGTCGGATCCCTGGTCGGGGCGCGAGCAGCACTGACCAGCGAGCCATCGGCGAGTGGGACCACAGGTGGCGTCGCTCTCTCCCGCCCCCTCCCCCCCCCTCGCTCTCTCAGACCAGTAAGTAAAAACTGATTTTCGGAGGGGAACGCAACCAGAGGGGAGAACGCGTGTGAGCGTTGGCACCTGTCACACAGGCAGCCCCTGGAGCGGGCCTGCCCTCTCCATGGAGGAGACGAGGAAACCGAGGCGCAGGCCACGCCGGGGCCGCCGGGGGTCAGGTCCACACGGAGCCTGGGAGGGTGGGGCCCAGGGCCAGGGAGCCCCGGGCGGCCAGCCGCAGGCCCCGGGGGGGGGGGGGGAGGGCGAGAACGAGGGAAGACAACGGGAACACCTCTGGCGGGCCCTCCCCGTTCGCTGGGGGGAACGGATGCAGGGGAAGCAGGCGGAAGCCCCCGACACCTGCGTCTGCGAGGGACCCCGCAGTCTCCCCCATCAAGCTCAGCAGAAGCAGAGGCCGCCGCGGGGCTCAGGCTCCCGGAAATAGCTCCCGGAGCAGCCGCGGGTGGACGCGATGGCGGGCAGGCAGGCAGCGTGTGGGCGCCGCCGGTCTCCGAGGCAGGTGGAGATACACGGGTTACGCGGAAAGACAGCAGGCACCCTCCAGGGAGAACGCCCGTCCACGGCGCTGTGCCCACACATGCCGCCGCTGAGCCTGGGCACGGGCCCTCACCGTGCGGCACTTCCCGCAGACCTGGCTCTCGCAGTCTCGCTCCACCCCACAGCCACCTGCGCCATAAACGCCACCCCTGCTGGCGCCTGGATCCTCCCTATCCAGGGGAACCGGGGCCTGGGGCAGAGGGGCGAGGGTGCGCTCCAGAGGCGGACGCGGCCCTGTGTCCTGCAGCACGAAGCCCCTCAGGTCACGGTGGGACCGAGCCCAGCTGCCCGGCTCTGTGACCCGACGGGCCGCAGGGAGGAGGGGGACACAGCAGGTGCCTGGGCCGCCCCCACTGGACGCTGCGGCCTGGCCGGAAGACCGAGTCCCGCTTGCAGCTCTCGCACTGTGACCAGGGAGCGTGTCCCAACACCGTGACCCTCCAGCTTGTCACCTGTGAGTGGGCACGTTCCCCACCTAAGAGGAGGTGACCTGTGGATGCACTGGGGCAGTGCATTCTTAAAGGGCAAGCCTCTCAGAAATCCTAGTTCTGTCACTGCTGTTGCTCTCACAGCCACACCTTCCCACAGGCACCTTGAAAGCAGTGTCCCCGCCCCAGACACCTGCTCCCTCTGGCCCGCCTCCACCGGTCCCTGCTCCCTGCCACCACCCCTGCACGGCCGTGAGTCCTTCTCCCCTCTGCCCCGCAGGTCTCAGCGGCCACAGGGCACGCAGACCTGCCCGCCCTGTCCCCAGGCCCCGGGTCAGCCCCGCCCCCTCCCACAGGAGCGGCCAGGACTATCCGTCACTCCCGGCTGGCTCAGCCCAGCCTCCGCCCTGCCGGCCTCTACCCCTGGTGCCCGGGAGCCCATCGCACTGAGCACACGCTGCCCGGTTTCTAGGGCGCCGCCCGCCTCGAGAGCAGGGCCGGGCGGGTGACAGTGCGTGAGGAAGGTGGGCACGGGCCACTCGGCCTCCCGCGGGCGCTCCTAGAGCTCCCCAGGCGCAGAGGGCCCGAGGAGGCCCGGCGGAGGCAGGCAGGCAGCAGCAGCACCCCTGCACCTGAGGGCGAGGAGGCGGCCAGGGGCAGAGAGGAGAGGCTGGTGGTGGGGCCAGTGTTCAGGCTGGCGGGGTGGCCCCAGGCCAAACCAAAGTCGCCCGCAGGAAGACACAATTCCTGAGGGGTGACTTCTGAAAGGGATTTGTAATCAGACGTTGCCTGATTATCGTCTGTGTGCAAACTGACACGTACATAACCTTCAACAAACAGCGTTTTCAAGAAAAATACAGGATCTATTTATAGAACACAGCCCAAGAATTAAAGGAGATTCCTCTAGAAAATAAAAATTAGAATGCATTTCCAGAAGGCCAAGATTCTTTCCACGAGGCCTGAGCACCAGGGCGAAATAACACGTCCCAGCGAGAATCCGGAACGCAGTCCGTCTGAGCCCCTCCCCCCCAGCGCCCGCACGGGGGCCTCTGTGCTGAGCACCCGGGGAGCCTGCCTGCACGCAGCTCCCGTGGAGCCCCCGAGTGCGGGCGCGGCGACGGCTGGTTTCCCAGGTGGAGTGCCTGAGTCTCCGAGGGAGCTCCCAGTCTCACAAGGGTGACCCAGACCCCATCGGGAGGGGCCCGGGGATGCTGGGTGAGGAGGGAGGGCACTGACCACGCGCCTGGCCCACCGCAGCCCAGTGCACCGGGACCTGCGGGTCAGCAGGCTGTGAGCGGCGGGGCGGGGGGGGAGCGGAGCGGCGGAGGGGGCTGGAAGGAGGACAGGGTGGGGCAGCAGCCCTGGAGTCTGGAGTGAGGGCTGGGAAGGACGGCGCTGGCCGAGGTGCTGAACCACTGGAGCTGGGCGGGGCCTGGGTGAGGAGGGCATGGTGGCCACGCGGAAGACCCTGGAGGCCTGAGCTCCAGAGGACGGCGGTGTTGTCCTACAGACTGCAGCGGGCGCCCACCTCCCGCTCTCGGCCTGGCACCGAGAGGTGGCTCAGGGAGGGTTTCTCCGCGTCCTCTCGGAGCAGCACTGATCCGCCCACACCTCTGTGGCCCGGGCCCTGCCAGGGCGTCCCCCGCCTCACACCCCTCTCCCCGCCTCAGCTCCCCTCCTGACCACCTCCCACGCGCCACCTTCCCTGGGGAAGCACGGACCAGCATCAGCACCGTGGGCGGACTGCTCCCCGACGGACAGAGAGCTCGCTGACCACCAGGCACGCACCCTGTCTGCCTGCACCTTCCTGGCACCCGGCACGCTGTCCGGCACGGGGCAGGTGCTGCAGGAAACACTGGCTGAACTGAGCGGCCCCCGGAAGCTGTGGGCGGCGCTGCAGCACCACCCTCCCGGGGGAGCCGGCTGGCTCTGAGGCGGTGGGACGCCCCATCCTGTTCACAAAACACCTCAATCATGCTGAAGCAGACGCCATTAGTAAAAAAGTGCTGTTCCGTCTAATTACACATTCCATCGATTCTGAACTAAACTCCGTATTCTCTAAATTAAACGAGAAAAGCAAACAAGGGTGGGAAGTGCTCGGACTCCCCTTGCAAACCACGGACAGGTGTGTGCCAGGCTCGGGGAGGAGTGCCGCGTGTCCTCTCAGCTGGCCCCCAGCCCAGAGCCCAGGCGGCTGGTGCAGGCACGCTCGGGGCCACGGAGACATGGAGACCGGGGCACCCTTCCAACCCGTGCCATCCAGGTCGACTGGCGGCCGCCTGGGGCCTTTTCTTGTCCTTCCTGGAAACCAGGACCACCCCGGAGTGCGGCCGTGCGGCTGAGGATGCCCCGGCCGCAGGCTGAGCCCCGGGTGCACGTGCCGACAGCGGCAGCAGCAGCGGGCCTTGCTTCCCCTGCCCACCACGCACACCCTGCGCTGGGCCCGGCCACGGAGAGCAGAGGGAACCCAGAGGACACAGGACACACCAACTGCCCGGGCAGGTCCCCAGAGCCCATCCCGCTGCCTGGGCCCCCCCGCCTGCAGGCCCCACCTGCGGGGCTCACCCCCACGCCCTGCGCCCCAGATCAGCCCGCACAGCACGGACGCGGAGAGCCGGCCTGAGGCTTGAACTCCGTGCACCCGCCCCTCAGCCTGGCCCAAGTGACACGGGGTGGGGCCGACCCAGGGTGCACAGGGGCCAGCGGGCGCCACTCACAGGCGCCGGCCGTGTGCCTCTCTTCCCCACAGCGCACGCCACGACGCCGCGCCGGGAGCTGAAGCCGGCTGCCGCGGAAGCACCGGCCCCACGGAGCCTGCCAGAGGCTACCGGCCAGGGCCGGCACAACTTACTGGGTCACGACTGGGCAGACCAGAACCCGGGGGCAGGGGCGTGGGAACCTGAGCTGGAGGGGCCAAGGCCTTGACCTCCACCCGAGGAGGGAGGCAGAATTCACGGTCAGACCGCCCGCCAAACCAAACCCTCGGAGTCCTGCCGGGGCTTGCAGAAAGTAGCGCTCCGCGTCAGAGTCCACGGAAAGCAACACTCCCAGCGTCCAGACACAGTGTCCAACACCTGCCGTGCGGAAGGAAGAACAAAGGACACCGACCCGGCCGCAGAAAGCGGCGGCGCCGGCCCTGAGGCGGTCCCGAGGCCGGGGCTGCCGGAGCCAGGCTCCATGCGAGCTAAAATAAAAAATAGAAGTGGAAAGAACAAAAATAGGAATACACAATCAAAAATATTTTAAAAGGCAAAAGGACATTTTATAACTTAAAAATATAATAACGTTCGAAGAAGCAGCCCCCACCCCGTGAGGCCCCGGCAGCACGGTGGGACAGATGCACCGAGCGAACCTGGACGGAGGCGAGGACGGGGGGGGGGGGGGGGGCCGCGCACCCGGCCTCGTCCACACGGAAAACCTGTGACCTGCGGAAGCGAGCCACAGACAGTCTTCCCGACACGGAGCTCAGACAGAGGACCGGCCCCGGACCCCACGGGGAACGCGCAGAACTCAGTGGGGGCATCGTGGCCCCGCCCCTCCCCGGAGAGGGCGCGCAGCGGGCAGTGGAGGCAGGAGGAGACGACGGTCGGCCTCAGCGGTCACCGAGGAAACCCGGGTCCAAGTCCCCACAGAAACGCACCCGGCAGGACGCCTGCCGAGTCGGCGTCTGACTGCGCCGAGTGCCGGTGCCGGCAACGGCGCGGAGGAGGCTGTCGCAGAGCTGGCGGGGCCTGAGGGGGTGCGGCCACCGGAGGAGGGCTGGCGGCCTCCTGGACAGACACGCACGGACCTCACAGTCCCACCACCGGGCACTGCCGAGAAAGGAAAATACATGTCCCCACGCACGGACGCGGAAAGGGTGCTCCGGTCGGTCTCACGGTGAACCTCCAGTGCTGCCCCGGCCACCCACCACCCACCACCCACCACCCATCACCCTCAGGGCATGGCACGTCCCTGCTGGGTCCAGGCGCCCGCCGCTGGGCGGGGTGGGTGCAGCTGTCCTCCAGGTCCTCCTCTGTGCGTCCGGGGGCACCAGCGCCGTGCAGTCCCACCCCGTGCGGCGCCCAGTCCACTCGCAGGGCCTCTGTGGCTGAGCCCACACCCCGTGGGCATGCCACCGTCTCGGAGGCTCCCTGCAGGGCGGACCCCGCGCCACCTCCCGCCGGCCCCTCCCACAGCCACTGAGGCGACGCCTCGGAAGGGCAGGCACTGCACCCGCAGGAGACGGACGTGCTGTGGGGAGGGCGGGGAGCTGCGAGGAGCACTCGGGCGGCGGCCGCGTTCCTCTGTGTAAGTCTGTGACCAGCGGGTGCTCGGTGACACCGAGAATTACCATTAGCTCTAGTGGTTAGAATTTAAGGTGACTGTCTTAAAAACATGACGACCGATGGACACCACGGTGAAGGTACAGCGTGCTTTTTGGTGGCCTTCCCTGGCAAATGGCGCAGGCGCAGGCAGGGCTGTGCCCGCCGCACTCTGCGCCACGACGTCTCCGGAGCGGCGCGGGGCACAGGACAGGGTGGACGGTCAACGAGCGGCTGCGCCCAAACCTGAGAGCCGCCACGCCACCACGGGACCTGAGGGGTTGTGGTTCCGCAGCCGCCGGCCGGTGCCTTCACAGCACGGCCGCTCCCAGGCACAGTGCCGGCCTCGCTGTGCACAGCGGATGAAGAAACAAGTGAAACTCAGACAGAGCCGCTCAGGGGCCGGTCCCGCGCCACCGCGGCCCAGGGTCTGGGGCCACAGCCGTCCCCCATCTCGGTCACAGCTGCAGAGCCCTCAGTGCGTAAGGAGCCTGTCAGAGTCCCCGCAGGGCCGTCCGTCAGGCGGTGACAGCGCCCCTCCCTCGAGGGCCTCGTGCTGGTTTAGAAGCTTGTTATATGGGAGGAAGCCGCACAGCGCTGACCCGCACCCCCAGGAGTGGCTGCGGCTCGGGGACACCCCGCACACTCCCCGCCCCGGCACAAGTCCCAGGGGGGACGGCGGTCGGCCACCAGAGGCCGCTGCTGCGAGGCTCCCAAACCCCACCGGGGTCAGTGCGCTGGAGGGCCCGACCGGGGCCGTGTGCCGGCTCAGGTACGAGAGAGAGGCGTCCGGTGAGACGCCCCCATCACAGAGAGCAGCGGACACGCGGTGCCTGCTGACGGCGGGCGGGGCACACGGGGACGCGGGGACACTTACCGCTGGCACTCGCCCGCGTGCAGGGTCAGCTCCTCGCCGCCCCGGGCGCTGACTGTCAGCTCGCGCTCCGTGGAGTTGAAGGCGTCCAGGAGCAGGTGGCACTGGCGGGTGCTGTGGGGGAAAGGCGAAGGCGAGGTCAGGGTCTTCTGACAGCCCCAGAGGGGAGGCAGACTCTGCGTCTTTCTCTTCCCCGGAGACTGCCCCCGACCTGAGGGCGTCGGGAGTGCGGGTTATCACGCCTGTCACGTGCTCCTGGCCCGACAGAGGCGCGAGACCCGCCCCGGGCAAAGCTGAGTGCACTGACGGGTGGGCGTGCGGAGGCACCCCCCCCGGCCCCGGGTCCCGGGTCACGCGCTCACAGCCCGCGGCGCCCCGTGCAACCCGGCGGCCGGGCCGGGGGAAGGCGCCTCGAGCCCTCCACACCTCGCAGGGGTGAGGACGGAACGCCTGGCGTGCAAGCGAGGCGGCCAGCGGGAAGGCCCTGGGCTGCAGTGCCACGGGACAAGTGCCACGTCCCTGTCACCACCCCGTCAGCCGACGTTCGCCGGGCGTCCCAGGCCCCGGGCCAGGTGCGGGCCCGAGTCCGGGGACGAGCGTGGACCACAGTGGCTGGTGTGCGTGTCTGCGTGGGTTCTCGCACTCCCCCCTCCTCCTCCGGGCTGCAGGAGACATGGGAGGAGGCCCTCGCCCCCGCCTGAGCCCCCCCTCCGTCTCCTCGACTGCAGGGGACAAAGCCTGGCCTCGGGCAGGGGCAGGGGCAGCGGCGTCGGAGCTCCTGCGCACACGCTGTCGCGTGCTGTCCGACACTCGTCTTCAGGGGCGGGTTCGCACCGTCGCTTCTGGGTTCCTTGCGGGGGGGCGTCTCCCCCAGAGGCTCAGCGCTAGGACACGTCCATTAGCTGTGCGCTGCCTGCGGGAGGCCTCTTCACTCAGCTCACAGGAAAAGGAGCTTTCAAGGATGATCCATTCTGCCTCTGTCATAACTTCATGAAATCTTTAATCACAGCCGAATCTTCCAGCCGAAGAGGGGGGCGGAGGGGCACTCCCCAGAGGAGGAGAAGGGACGTGCTCCTTCGGAGCAGGAGGGAGAGTGTCGGCTGCCGGTGTCCTCGCGGCCAGCCGCCAGGACGGACCTCGGCCCCCAGCCGGCCCCTGCGCCCCGTCCTCCTGACGCACGGGTGTGGGGCGTCGGCCCTGGGGCTTCCTCACGGGAGGTGCTGGCGGGTCTTCGCCTCCTGTTAGTCGTAAGAGGGTCTCCTTCCCCGAACGGCAGTGGCGCCCACCCGTGTCCCCACTCCGCACCCTCCCACACCGCGCGGACGATGCTCTTTCGAGTTGCTCTCCGTTGAGCACGGAGTGGACACTGACCCCCGCTCACGCTGGGGTGTGGGGAAGCCCAGCAAAGCTTCCTGGGAGATCTGGACAGGGCAAGCCCTTGAAGGGCAGAGCCACCTGCCGGGGCCGGGGAGTGGCCAGGGCCCAGAGGCAGAGGAGAACCTGGAGAAGAGCGGGGGAGGGGAGGGGGCTGCCGGGGAGGAGGCGCCCCCCAGGAAGAGAGCGCGGTGCACGCATGGCCTCCTCGAGGTGGTGGGTAGCACTGCGCGCTCCACAGGGAATCGGGAGGTGTATCCGTGAGCCCGCCCGGCACGCCGACACCTGCGAGGTGCCCGCTGTGGGCACGGGGGGTGGGGAGAGGGAGCCCACCACCGTGTATCACCGGCATGCTCCTGAGCTGATGCCCCGTGGGCCGCTGGGACTCTGTCCCTGGTGAAGACCGGAACACGCAGCCCGTGGCATTACTGGGGGCTCCGGTGGGGAAGGTGAGAGGGCCGGGCAGAACCCCCAGGGGGCTGTTGGGACGTGCACGTGAGGGCAGGGGCACCCCTCACTCGGGGGCAGTCGGTGCGGCAGGAAAGGGCAGAGCGTGTCACCACGCCGGCAACACGGTCCCCCTAATTGCCCTGCACTGACTCTGCCGCAGTGCATCCGGGACGCCCCCACGACAAGGACAGAGTCTACCCAAAAACCTCTCCCCCCGCCCCCCGCCTGCATTCAGGCCCTGTCTGCAGGCCTCCTGGGGCCGCCCGGCAGGCAACACAGGCAGCCACGGCCGCGTGCCCCTGTGGCCAGGTCGGCGCGGTCTTCTAGAACTCTCTGAGCCTGTGTAGTTTCTCGTTCCGTCTGCTGCAGAAAGGCCTCGCAACCAGTCTCAGGATGCAGAGCTTTCCGCAGGTCTTAAGGAGGCCAGGGCGCTGGCTTGATCCTGTCCAAGGTGGAGGCAAACTAGAACAAGAACCCGAACCTGCTTCTGGTGCCACCAGGGCCACGCTGAGTCACGGGGCCTCCAGCGTCCCTCGAAGACACAGGCGCCTACTCCACTGGCAAAGGCTGTCCATTCTGAAATGATGTTTTAAAAAGCAGCCTGTCTACGTCCACCCACCCCAGACTCGGATGGGGACAAGTGTTCTGTCTGATCTTCGGCTTTCTCGTTCCAACACTGAGAGGCAGGTGTGGAAATCCCTGACCGTGATCTCTCCCTTCTCCCCGTCGCCCCCTCGGAGGTCAGTCTCACTCGGACGCTACGCTGTGAGGTGCCCCCGGCGGCTTGTCCCTTCTATCACTGCAAACCACCCTCCCCACCCCTCCCCTCCGAAAGTCGGCCCGTGCGGCACCCACGTGCACATTTCAGCATCTGGATGCCACTTTCTAACACACTCCTCTTTGAGGCGTGCCCGGTGGGCCACTGACACGCAGAGGGCTTCCTGGCGTGGCAGGGTAGCATGGCGGGTTAAGGGGTTTTTTTTTAAAGATTTTTATTTATTATTTATTTTTAGACAGAGGAGAAGGGAAGGAGAAAGAGAGGGAGACAAACATCAATGTTTGGCTGCCTCTCGTGCGCCCCCTACTGGGGACCTGGCCCAAAACACAGGCACATGCCCTGACTGGGAATCGAACTGCTGACCCTTAGGTTCGAAGGCTGGTGCTCAACCCACTGAGCCACAGCAGCCAGGGCTGCTACGTGCGTTCTACTTGACCACACGTTCCGGGTTCTTCCGGCCTCATCTCCTGCCAACAAGTCCCCTCCTCTGAACTGAGTATTTGTCAGTGTCCGTTTTATTTCTTCCGGCCCATTTCCCACACCTGAAGTGTTGCTCAAGGGTTTACAATTCGCACCTTTAACTTATCACGTTCTGACCACAAATGACGTAACATTTTGCATTGAAACTTCCATTTCCCCCTCCTTTTCTCTTGTTTCTTCGTGTTACATTTTTGTTACGTATTTAACTTCTGCACCTGACAAGCACTACAAAACTGAACGTGTCGTTTCTTCTTTAAACAGTCGATAGTTAGTCCGTTACAGAGATGCAGCAGAGGGGAAGGGGTCTCCGGCATGCGTTCGCCGACGGGTGCTTCCTGGCCTCGCCGCTCCTCGTGTGGGCCCAGGGTTCCCCGTGGCAGTGGCTCTGCTGGGGCGCTTGGCCCGGGCCGAGGGAGCAGGAGGACCGCCCCCCGGCCGGCTCAGAGCCCCGCACAAGCCCCGTGCAGCCCTAAAGCTCTGGGGGTGCTGCTATAACGGGGTGCAGCCAAGAGGGGAGCCTCAAATAGGGATCTGTAATAAGATCCAGAAGAGCCTGGAGATAATTGGCTCCACACCACAGGGCCACACCTGCCCGGAATGCTGGCAGCTGTAGCCAATTGTGAGAGGAGCCGGAAATGGGGCTTCAGAGGAAGACTGGCACTGGGATTTAAACCGAGACGCAGCAGCCATTGGGGGGAGAACCATGCGCAGCCCTGCAAGAGAGAACCACACAGCTCTAGCAGAGTGAAGACTCCCGCGGCCCTGAGGGAGAGAACCACGCGGCCTTGACGGAGTGTAGATTCCCGCAGCCCTGAGAGGGAGAACCACGCGGCTCTGGCAGAGTGGGGACTCCCGGGGTCTGGGGAGAGAGGACCACGTGCCTTTGCCAGAGTAGGGACCCCCGCAGCTTTAGGAGATATGGTACTCTGGACTGGGCAAAGGGGAAAGGAAGGAAGGACTGTGTCTGTCTGTGAGTCCTTTAAAGGACTTTAGGATGTTTAGTGAAGACATTAGGTCCCTACTTTACGTCTGTATAGCATTAAATAAATGTTTCCTTTCCTTTTCACAAATCTCTGGCATTGAGAGATGTCTTTGCTCTGGTGGCGGACATAACAGACCTGGGGGCTTCTTTCAGTAAGAGTATATCGTCCCAGGCCCCCTTGTTTGTTCTGTAACAGTTTTTGGCGACCACAAAGGGACGACAATTGTCCGTGGCAGACCGACCCCCTCAGGTGCGAGAGAGTGAGACTTAATTTCTCCGCACTCCCCCTGAGGGCATCAGCCGCCTATCACGCCTGGAAAGGTGAAAAGGAAACGAAACGGAGAGAGAGCAGAGACATGAAAGTGTTTTAGTTGAAAACTTGGTTTCTGAGTGCTTTTTTTTGGAATAATGGAGCGGGAATTTTGGATAATGGATCTGGAAATACCTGGTCTTTACGCCATCTGTAACCTTTGCTTGCTTTGTTTGAACTTTTGCTTGCTTTGTGGGAACTGTGAGAGTAGTACTGAGCCAGTCCCTAAGTGGAGCCCATTGGGTAGGATCCTAAGGGATTGGGAGAACTACTGTGCTAAGTCGACATACAAGATTCCCTTGATTAATGGTTAATGGTTTATTATTGTAACACGGTGTGGCCTACTTATGTTTTGGGTGATGAGCTGAGATGGCCAGTGAATGGTTCTTTGAGTTACTGCATCATTGCTAGACTGAAACAGTATGGCAGACAGAATAGCAGATGGCTTAACCTCTCTAAGACACTGCAGAAGGTGCATATTGGAAGGACTTAGGAAAGGAGTGCCCAAGCAGAGGAGTCTGAACCTGATACAGACTCTCCAGCAGAAGCCAGATGAGGATCCTTCTGAATTTCTAGAGGGGATCTATCAGGCCTACAGGAAGTACACTGACATTGATCCAGAGGCACCAGAGAACGTGATAATGGTAAACATGACTTTTATTGGGCAGGGCGCTCCGGATATCAGGAACAGACTTCAGCGTGTAGACAGAGTACTGGGGACGAGCTCCTCCCAGCTGGTG